ATATAATATATATANATTATACATATATATATATATATATGTGTGTGTGTGTGTGTGTGTGTGTATATATATATATATATATATAGAGGTATAGATATAGGTATAAGTATAAGCATAGCTTCAAGTTTTAAGTGTGTCACAATCGTGTGTCTTTAAATAGCAATCGCGGACTATTGAAAACAACCGTAGAAACGCGCTTGTTTGTGCCCGTTGTGATCGCGTGCCCAATCCAGCACGCGCATGTACGGGGAAAATCTCCCACCTTATAATGACTTTCTTAGTATATGTAGTTTTTTCTTCTGTAAGTTGGAACTTGCGGCTAGTTCCAGAGTATTGGAGTTGTTGAACTTTCAATTACTACTATACTCCCCTATAGTTTAATATCGATACCCTTTGAGGTATTACTAAATTTAACCAAATGTGGCTGTGCCTGTAGGTGCTGCTGGGTTGGATTGGAACGATGTCATTGACACCCTGGCACCAGCCATTGACATTGCGAAGCGTCTGTCCATGACCATTCCGATCGAAGGCACGGGTCAAACCGACGCTGAAAAAGCTCGCCGGCGTGCGGTATGTGAAACTGTCAGTGAATTGCCCAACACTTATCATGCGCGATGTATATATTGTGAGCTGTACAAAATTATGCTTGTATGGTTATTTGTACGTGCTCTCCATTTTTTTTCTTTGCTGCTGCCTAGTGTGTGTTCTTCGCAAATTTTGTTGCCGTGTATATTATAAATTTGTTTGAGTATTTGCATTTGCAGCCGTATGCCTGTGTGTAAGTCACGAGTAATTGAAGATACGTTGCTCCGATCCTTTTCGGCAAGTTTCGTACGCGAACCAATTATGCGCATTAAACTCTCCCCTTAGTCTTCGCAAACATCACTATCTCAAAATCTCTCTTTATTCAATGATTCAACGCGCCACCCCCTCCCCCTCCCCCTCCCCCGCCGCGCTCTCTATGTAGGAACGTATGAGCAAGCGTCACCTACACACCGATGGCATCAAGTACTGCATCCGTGCCTCTATGTTGGGCGTGGACACACGCACACACAGTCAGCGCACGGGCGAGGACATGGAGGCTGATAGCCAGTTGAACACAGCCCCTGCACACAACCAAGTCTTCTTCTTCTATCTCCTGGCTGAGTTCTCGCCAAAGCTAAACCACTTAGATGCTGCTCAAGTGTATGTGACTGCAATATGCGATGGTGCCTTCTACGTGGGTGATTCAATGTGCAATGCTATTCTCACTATTTTTATTGTTTATCTTTTGGTATCATATTGAAGTAGTATTCGTACAAGAATTTTCGGTACGTTGTTGCTAAATCACTCCTGTAGAATTTGTATCTTGTTTGACACAAGATTTACAACCGTGCAAGTACAATTTGTATCACCTAATATTTGGTCCAGGCACGAATCAGGCTTCAGACCCTGTGTATAAACACGAAACCCCAGCACGAAAATTCACTACATAACAATCCGAGTTTCACATGCCTTTGCAGTTTGGAATACGCTATTACCAAGACTGATGGGTTGGGGAGTGAGAGCCTAACGTATGCAGCTCCAATTAAACACTACCTGGACTCACTACGCAAACGCACTGGACAGTTTGAAGGCAGAAGTAGTAGGAGAGCCGCTCCCAAGAAACAGATGCAGGTGGGTCAAGTAGTATTGTTGTCCCTTTGTGGTTTTATTGTGGTATGCAATTGGTGTAAGCTTCGATTGCTTTTCATGGCAAGTGTGTGCGAGCTTTGCTTCTGGTACACATATACTTCTCTAGGTGCATTCCAGCTATATTTGTGTTTCACTATGCTGGTCAAGTACGAGATCTTCGCACGCACATTCAAGAGCGAATTTGTGTGCATGGAGTCTGCAGATCCATAAAGATTTAGTCTCATGAACTGCTGTCAAACATGACAACGCTCATACGCACATTCCCCAAAGAAGGTTCACTTAGAGGTGTTGGCCTATACGTATCTTTTTTGTGTGGATAAAGGTAGAAATGTCGATTCCGAAGCATAGTGTATGCGGGGATCTTCGTGCATATGTGTGTATACATCATCTATCTGAGAGTGGGCCTATTTGCCCAATCTAAGGCACTCGCCGCAGTGTGTGATGTAGTGCAAGTTTCCATTGCGCCACACTAATCTTACTGCACTCCTGCAAAGAGCTTTATTGGTGACTATTGTATCAAATCCCCAGCAGCCGCTTGCAGTCGTGCCAATTTACTACCCGATTAAAACAAATAACATTCTTGTGTGTTTTGTATACCATCCACGGTTGCTGCTGCATAGTTATCTGTAATTTACAAACAGCTCTACTTGCATATTGTTAGGAGGAGATGGAAACAGAAACAGAGAACGAAGACGAACATGAATCGTCACAAAGCGCATCTCCAAACGGTACGCAAACCAAACCTTCTGAACGCAAACGTAAAGCTCCGAACAGCCGATCCAAAGCGACCAAGACTGCTCCCACTCCCAAGCCTCGCACTAGTCCCACGCGCGTATCTGGCAGGAAAAGGAAGTCCGAAGGGGTGGTGTATGCTGAAGACGACCAAAGTGGTATGCTGAGTGCGAGCTTCTACTTTTAAATGTGTTAGTCGCATCGAGGCATTTGTTTTATCCTTATGTGTATTGAGTGTAGGCTTCTTGTTTTTGCCTGTATATGTTGGTGATGAGCTACTGACTTTCTGTCCATGTGATACTGTGATGTTTGTTTCATATTCGTGATGGTTTCTGAGTATTCTTATGTGTTGTGTGATAGAATGATTGCGACATATCAGAAGTGTTTATGCTATGTATTTTGTCTGCTTGACGTCTGTGGTGTGGAAAACTAGATAATCCTTCTGGTTATAATAAAAGTTACGTCAAATAATCGCGGTGTTCAGTCAACCTTTTAGTCGAATTGGGAACTGTACACGTGCCCCCAAATTAAAGTATCATTGTGTACTTAAACACCTTAAGGTATTGGGATTGCCACTTGCATGCCATGGCGCGACACTTCCCCGTCTCGGTGTCACTTGCTGTTCAAGTATTACCCAAAAGTGTACCTATTATCCTGTCTACAGTTCATATTCAGAACACGGAGCTTATCTTTTTAACGTTGTACATCTGCAGATCTTGAATCGGAGTGAAGTGCTTGTATGGTCGTAGTGCCGGGCTTTGCTGCCGCCAGATAGCAGACGCGGCCTGTACCTTGTAAACTCGCTTGACGGTGTGGATCGCACAGATTATCCGTCTAATAATTAGCATTATCTCTATGTATTGCCATATAATATGACAATCGACACTGCCAGTGTATCGTCGTATTATCTATTATAGTAGGCATTCTTTCAGAGCATTGCCGTATTCATCATAATCGGCGCATGTCCGCTTAAGAGCGAAAAGTTGCACGAGCTTAGATTGGAGTCGCCAGTTTCTACGTAACTGTGACAACTATAATAAGAGTTAGCACTTTCTCTGAGGACCACAATTTTCCACCGCGAAAATATAGTATAGATACTACCGGACGTGGGCAATGTAGCACAGGACTTATTAATCTTATAGAGATTACATCAAAACCCTATGTCCCAGCTTAAGCAGCTTTGCGGCTTTGTACCGCACAGAAACCGCGGTGCTACGTTGTGATCATTGGTATAGTGTATCTACGCCCACGTGAGCCTGTTCAATATGAGCATGAGATTTCTGTTGAAAATGTATATCCTTGATATGGAGATATGTGCAGCTCGCCTGTGCTAGTTGCAACATGGGTGTCACCAAAGGCCTATACAGCGTATAATTGAGTACGGGTGGTATTGCAATTACCTTGCGATAATGGTGAAATTCTGCTGCGATACACAGTCAGAGTGAAGTCAAATACTATAAGATTCCCTATTCGAATCTAGCGACGATCATGCGAACAATCTGCGGAGTGTGCGAGCGGAATCTGCATATTCGTATTGATAGTCTGGCAAGCACAGCAACTGGCGCAATCGCAATCAGAGCGCGGCTAAGCGGTCACAGATTTATTCAAATTTCCCTATTTTCCGGAGACTTTCACAAATACTATACAGTCCGTCGGCGCGGGCTAAATATTTGACCGCCTTTTGAAATCCCAACATTAATAAAATAAAGAAGCAGCACTAGAGCATCGGCGCATTTTCAGATTCAGAAATGGTACCTACCAGATATATCTACCCTGACATTTTTAGCCGTCAAGAACGCATTTAATATTGTCCAAGAGCTCATAGTTCTTCCGTGGGTGGATTTAACACGCCAGGTTCAGTCCGAATTCCTCGTAGTAGAATACACTAATTGTGGAGACTAACGTAATATGCAGACGCTATTTCTGACACTATCATGCGTGCGGAGAGCAGTGATAGACTCATCTGTCTTATGATATTGGCATCTCAGGTGACTGCGGTTGTGTGATAGATCAAATCACCTTAGCATTCGAAATATTATACATACTGTATAATATTAACTGTCGTGGTACATCAATATAGTAAAATAAAATCATGCACGGCAGATGAGAATATTGGCTCAGCTGTATTCGATTACTTGCAGTGTGACTATGTACGGATTTCGTAACGAAATTATGGAATACAAATACCCAAGCTGGACATCCAGATTAACTAGCCGAGGATAAGTGCAATACTCTTGAAAATTGGCTGCTTTCATGTTATGAGGTAGTAGTTTCCAAAAATCGGAGGAAGATTTGCCAAGAATATCTTCTAGCTGAAGATTTGTCAGTCTGTTCTGCCTGATAATACTACATACTGCCGTCTATATAGCCTTTTCCGAAAACACTGCCGCATGCTGAAGCTTCTGTGATATGCTGCAAACCTGAATTGATATTATACCGGTGAAACGTCACACCATACAACTTGTCCGACTCGCAGAAGACAGAGTATTTCCTTCAACGATTGACGAAATGATTGCTCCACCTGTACTGCATGCAACCTCGGCCATGCTATGTCTACTACTGAATGTGTTCGCTGGGTTCAGCTCTTTACCGACATCTAGCCCATGATATGCAATCCAGGCAATTTGTGCGAATAGCATAGTTGTACTTAAGCAGACTATGCCATGAAAAGCAAAAACAGTAGCGAAGCAAGAACCAAGGTCAGGAGGATTCTGGGGGGATGGCTGCCCAGATATCTTGAATACAGTATTAGACAGGATGAACACAAAAGTCGTTACAGCAGCCATCATTACAGCTACGATAATATTCGCCCGCCAGTCATTAAAGGCTAGTGTTACATATCGCGACTTATACGTATAGTACGCCACAACAAGAAGCATACAGTAGAAGCCCATGTTCATGATTACGTCTATCATGAATACATGCTCAAGCATATTTGGCAACCCAGCTATAAACAAGGCTGCTGCGACGATTGATATCCATAGCATCACAACTAGATACGATTGAATGTTGATCATTGATGAGGGGTTCATTCGAACTTCGAACAATAAATACAACAGTCGCTGCTTCGCCGCCTGTGCACCTATCACCAAAATTGCAAAACTCGTCATTATGACCCTCAGGACGAGTGAGACGTCTATACTTGTTCGGATTACCCCCAAATAGTTCAACGCAATCAAACTTAAGAACGAGGCGGCTGTATATAGCCCTAGTGTGGTCATGCCAATATACAGTGTCCCCCTGGTGCGTACGAGTGGATGCTTCATCTGAGTGAGGCAGTATACGCCTGTAAGACATATTTCCAAAGTACAAATACACCACGAAATCACGATACAGGCAATCGCCACACTCTTCTTGCTTGTTGGTGAGAATAATACAGTATTCCAGTACGAAACTACAAAGAGGATAGTAAAGATCGCTGTGTGTATGATAGCGCTTACCATCCATACACAATTATTAATAATTGCGTACTCAAAACCTGTTACTTTTCCTGTATGACGAACGATTCTCATAGCCTCGCAGCCTTGAAACTTGGTCAGCTTTTTTGTTGAGATGTCGGAGAGAACCGAACGTCTACGTCTCGATTCCGATAATTCATCAGCATCAGCAGTGGACGCTGATTTAAGACGCACCAATATTCCATTACACAACTCTGTTCTGCTCACAGTTGTGTTTTTGGTGTTATCGAATTTTGAGCTATTTCTCCTCATTTCAGGTGGCTTTCCGTCACTAACGTCATTTACTGTGTCGTTTCTTGTCGCCACGTCGCTATGAGAACTCCCCCTGACTGTACCCGGATCGTGCATCCCGAACGAACTCAGCGGCGGCAAATCACCACTGAATTTACCACTTCCCACTACGTTACTTCCATCGTCAACACTGCTGGGTGAAAACACCCTGGGCTCATCCATAGTTTTCAGTTCTAACTGAAGCTAATTGCCGATTTGTTGTGTTGTAGTAGGATACATAAATGCGACTATTAAGCGGAAGTGATCCAGCTCATCGAATGTGATTCATAATTGAACTGGACTGTGTGGAAATTGACACAATTACAAAAAAATACAAAAAATAGAAATATAAGGCCGGATTTGCCAACTTAAAGAAATATTGAGAAAATACAGCCCTAATAAATATTCAGGTATATTTTAGTATATTTCCTATGAAATATTGGAGAATATTGGAAGAATTTAGAAATTCATGTGCGATTGTATTTTGTGATATTGTTGAATATTCGCTCAGTATTTTGATACTTTCAGTTGGCAAATGCACGAATGCACAAGATATTCTATATGGAGCCGAAAAAGTGATGTCACTTTTGGATTGGTACATATAACCCGAGCCCTCCCATTGGCAGTAGTATTTTTTTGGATTGAATCTGGCATCATTTTGGGAATTGCAAAACACTCGAAATCGTGAAATCAGAAAATTACGAGGCTCAAAAAATATGAAAGTCACTTTCCATAATTTCCTGAATATTTAGAATAACTGTCAAAATTATGGATCGTGCGAAGAAATATTGAAATTAGTTACCGGAGTAAGGTATTTTACTCATTTCATATTTTGTTCCCCAATATTTCCTGAAGTTGGCAAATCCGGCCTGATTTCTGTATTTTTTAGAAGGCTTTGTATTTATAATTTATATATATTTGTTTTCATATTTTTGTGTTAAAAAAATAAAACAAACATTAATACAGTATAGACAAAATTGTTTTAAATGGGTAATTATGTGCTGTATGACGTGTATGTAGTAAAATAAAAAATACCTTAAAAGCATAGCCTCCTAAATTGAACAAAAAGTTTAAAAAACATATGGAGGAATTAGAACATATTTCTAAAAAAATACTCTGAGAATTATATCGTGAATATGAGTATATTTACTTATTATCCATGGAAATTAGTACTCACATTTTAAAAGCCGTTAAAATAGCCCTCAAATCTCTATATTTATTATTTATTATTTATAAGTTAGAACTAATAGAGGGCTATGTCGAATTGTCGATCCCTTTTATTTTATTTTTCTTAGAGAGAGAGAGTAGAGAGACTACGTAAAAAATAGTCACTCTCGGTCTCAGACTCAGAGGCCTCTGAAGTCTCTGACTCTTGTGTGATAAGTTGAGACTTAAGACTTGAGACTCAGAGTCAGTCAGAGGGTCATGCTTCATGGCAAAATATTTCTTTTCAGGAGGCTATGCAAAATCATTTTTACATCACTTGTAAATAAATTATTCTTTTTTAATTAGAAGCCCGATAAAACACACAAAAACCGAATTCCCAAACTCTTGTGGGAGAGGGATGTGGTCGTGTTTTGAGAATACTTGTTACCATATAGGGATAATATTATTTATTTCAAAAATGGCAAGTATGTATGATACAATGTATGAACATATGGTATGGCTCTCATAGTCGCTGTAGTGGTTCAGGAAAGATTGATGGGAGGAAGTGGTCAGTAAATTCCCGTTTGAAGCTTGGGCCAAGTGAGTCGACAATGGAAGATATGTGCGGAGTAAATTCGGGCCGGTGTTGACAAAACACTGACACCATCCGAGAATTTCAAACAAAAGGTTGAGGAATCCAAGAATCCACTCTTGAATCCTAAGTCTCAATCAGAGACTGAGACAACACAAGCACCTGCAGTATGTGTTACCGAGATACAGCCAAATTCAAAGGAATCAAATCGGAGCGCATCACTAGCGAAAGCCTTCTACAACAAAATACGGTCTGACAGGGAAACTGCATACCAAGCAGAAACTCGATTGCTTAAGCAATTCATGAATGACTTTCCCGAGGTATATGATCATGTGACCCAACTAATGGATAGATCAAACATTAGTCAGATTCACGATGTAGAAACTTTAGGCGAGATGGACACGACGAGTCTTCGAGTCCAGGTGATGACGCGGTGGAATCCTCATCTCCTGATTTCGATGTAACAAGTAAATCACAGGAGGCGATTCTGAAGTGGTTAAGACAAAATCATGCTCTTACGCACATGGATAAAGTTAGAACTGAGAAAGATTGCAAGAGGTACGGAATCGTACACCCGAATCTCAAGCAAAATATATCTCAGGCGTATCACGAATGTAACAACTGCGAAGTTAACCGGATCAAGCGCTACGGATATGCACCTGCATGCAGCGTATCAGTAGACGAGCCGTGGCACCGGGCTATCATTGATTTGGTTGAGCTGTAGAAATACGGCCTCCGGTCAGTCTAAAATATCAATTGAGATAATACATTGGTTTTTATTTGTATTTTAAATAATTTAATACAAGCTCTTTTTCCAATATTTCCAAAGTGTTCTAAATTCACTTTGATGGCTCCAATAGCCTGAGTATTT